CATCCCTGCCGGCCATTCCCTCCCCTACCCTGGACGACGCTGGGCCAATTGTGCGCCGCCCTATGGGTCTCCCGGTCACGGCCGGCTACGACAGAGCCTGGATTCTAACCAGGATCTCTAGTGGCGCAGCTTAGACCACTGCGCCACTCGGGAGACGTCACTACTCTCCTCTGACAAGACCTGCAAAGGCTCCTCAGGATTCCTCTTCTTCTTAACCTTTACTCTACCTCCACCTTTCCATATTCCGCCACTACACTCCATCCCGTCCTCCTCAACTCCTAACCCACCTACCTTTCCACCCATCTCTGCTTCAGTCATAGCCCAATGTTGCTCAAATACCTCCACCGGATTTCTTCACGTTTCGTCAATACGAAAACCAAACACCGACTCGAAATTATATGTTAATAGAAAAACTGACACTTGACTAAGCTTGTGTCAGCTGTTCGTAGTTACAAACGCACACCTTTGCCCGTCCACGGCCATGATACCCAATAGGAAGCACTTTAAATCGGCAGGCACAACACCGGAGCACTGGTCGCTGCCGGTTTACTATCGACTCGTAGTGCAGCCCAATCTGCCACGCAAAACGGTCTTTACTGGCAACAAATCTGCCCAATTAGCTGATTCGCTGTCCATATGCCCACTCCTTTCGACACACCCACTCGCTCATACTCCGGTCGCCATATTGGGTTCCAGCTACCCATACTTTAATTTAATTTAATTTATTTTTATTTGAAATTCCATACATTTTGAAGGATAAAAATTCAAATGTGTTACATTTTTTAAGAAGGATGTATAGATTTTTGTATCACAAAACATCACAAACAGGTCAACACAAAAACAGAAACACATACAGGGTTTTTACATTCAAAGAAATTGAAAAGCTTAGGAGTATCCATTGATTTCAATACCTTCTTATTCTTACAGAGCATAGTATTCAATGTGGCAAAGTAATTATTTAAGTCTACCTTAAAAAAGATTGAATAAGATGTTATTTTATTTTATGTTTTTATGGATGTGGTATTTAGGAAGAATTATAATCAAATTTATCACATACTTTTCGTTAGTGGAGAATCTTGGACTATCAAAAACAAAAAGAAGATCACAAGCTTGCAGATGGATGTCCCTACTAAATCTTTTACCCAAATCCAGTCGAAGATCCACCCAGAACATAGTCACATAGACACATTGGAAAAACAAATGCCCAAGGGATACTTTCGTTAGATGGGTATTATCTGTGAGTTAGATGGGTATTATCTGTGAGTTAGATGGGTATTATCTGTGAGTTAGATGGGTATTATCTGTGAGTTAGATGGGTATTATCTGTGAGTTAGATGGGTATTATCTGTGAGTTAGATGGGTATTATCTGTGAGTTAGATGGGTATTATCTGTGAGTTAGATGGGTATTATCTGGGAGTTAGATGGGTATTATCTGTGAGTTAGATGGGTATTATCTGTGAGTTAGATGGGTATTATCTGTGAGTTAGATGGGTATTATCTGTGAGTTAGATGGGTATTATCTGTGAGTTAGATGGGTATTATCTGTGAGTTAGATGGGTATTATCTGTGAGTTAGATGGGTATTATCTGTGAGTTAGATGGGTATTATCTGTGAGTTAGATGGGTATTATCTGTGAGTTATTTAAAGAGTGTTTCCCTCACTTTGTTTGTGAGCACATATTTGTATGATAAAGTCAATTCCTTTGGCCGATTTACAACAGATTGCATGTTCCACCTACATTTAGCTATTGGAACATCACTGTCATAAAAAGCTTCTCTAATGAATGAATTATAGATTTTTTTGTTTATCAGTAATTGAGACACTGTTAACTACTATAGTTCAAAGTGATGGATCTGTATTGAACACAGTTTGTTTGAAAAGGGTTAGAACACCATCTGGTATTGCTTTACACACCATTTCATATTCCTTTGGTGAGACAGAGAGCTAATACATTCTTAAAAACTAATTGTATGATGTCTGAGTTGAGCAGCTGGCCCACAAGTAAAATGTCCTTCCTAAACCAATGTTCTAAAAACAGTGACTTGTTTTTATATTTTATGATAAGATTATTCCATATAACATACATATGAGGGGGGAAAATTATGTTTGTATAGAAGGGACCAACAATTAAGCATTTGTTTGTGGAAATCAGCCAGTTTAACAGGAAGTGTTTAACCTGCTTAAGGACACTGCAAAAGGAAACTTAAGCCACCAAATTAATTGAAAATAAAGATTTGGTTTTGTAAACCAAAAGCTGTTTGGGTCCTTAAAGTAACTCTTTATCCAATAAATCTTTAAGACTTGGTTAAAAGTGGTGAAGTACAACATATTAGGACCGCCCACACTGTTTGTAAGAACATATTTTTTCACTTTGTGAGCTTTATTTTTCCATATAAAGTTAAACAGTGTCTTATCTAATTGGGAGCGAATAGATATGGGACTGTCAAGACAAGAGAACAAATAAGAGGCTCTAGACAAGCCTTAGTCAGAAAAACTCTTCCTTGAATGGACACATCTCTGCCTAACCATGAGTTGAACTTTTTTTTTTTTTTTTATAGCTGAGGCAACTGGGGAAGATTCTTCATTCTCAGCTACCCACACTTGATTAATTTCCCAATAGGCCTTGTCCAACGACCCATGGCGGAGTTTAAGCACAGATAGAACAATGAGACAGATATTTGGTTGGCGTTTCCACATACTACCAAACATGGTGGTGAGAGGAAGCCCAGTGGCCGGCAGTGGGAGAAGATGGAGCAAGATGGATTTTGGCCGACCATTCTGCTAATTTTCTCATTGATGAATCATTTGATCTTGATACAGTTTTCTATTTTCAAAACTTGAATCTGTTACGAACAGAGTGGACTAAGTTTTGTAGACTTTACCATTTGCCAAAGTCTTTAAAGATTGCGTTGTTTAGAAGGAGTGCAAGGATGAATTGAGTTATTGCACATGCGTACTTCACAGAGTAGGCGTTCCCTAATGGAAATATGCAAATATATGCTTGTTCTGCCCACTATGATTAATTTGCTCCCATTGGAAAAGACAGGCTGTGGTCTAGCTTGGGTTAGTTATAAAACATCTTTGGTTTAAATGCCAGCCAAAAGATACCATTATTAATTTCTCTCCTATAGGCGCTAAAGCGGCTAGATTGTCCACTTCCGGAAACACCAGGAAAGCGTGAAAACATCGGCAACCTGTGCAAACAACGCAAGGTGTAGCTATTTATGGGCGTTACAGTTAATCAGCGAGATGATTTGGAGTGTACAGTAGCTGTTTACATTTCCCTTATCCTCGCTCTTTGGTCACGTTTGTGTATGTTGTACTAACTCGCTGTATTATTGAGTAAGTATGAGAATCGGGAACAAAAGTTGATATCTGCTAGTTAGCTAGCTAAGTTAGCTAGCTTGCTGGCTAAATTTCAGTGAAGTTACAGGAAGCTTTTTGCCAGGTTTTATTAGCTAGCGTGTCTGTGCATTGCTGAATGATATTGTAGAATGTCAAAGGGCACACACGAAGAGAACCATTGCACGAGCAGTATTTAACTTCAGTGAAATGCAAATGATTAGCGACCTGAGGACTAGCTACAAATTGCTAGTAACATAGCATGCAAATGCAGGGGGAAAAAATGTGCACCAGCACCACACGTGTCAAGATGCTGCTATTCTTGTGCTGCTATTACAAACATAGAAATCAAGGGTTTTATTTTTCCTGGCAAAAGTATTAAGTTCAAAGTACAGACTAAAAATAATAGCTCTTGCACGTACCTGGTGATGCTACATCACCAATGTACACTATATATATAAAAGTATGTGGATACCCCTTCAAATGAGTGAATTCGGCTATTTCAGCCACACCCGTTGCTGACAGGTGTATAAAATCGAGCACGCAGCCATGCAATCTCCATAGACAAACATTTGCAATAGAATGGCATTACTGAAGAGCTTAGTGACTTTCAACGTGGCACCATCATAGGATGCCACCTTTCCAACAAGTCAGTTTGTCAAATTTCTGCCCTGCTAGAGCTGCCTCGGTCAACTGTAAGTGCTGTTATTGGGAAGTGGAAACATCTAGGAGCAACAACGGCTCTGCCGCGAAGTAGTAGTCCACACAAGCTCAATGAACGGGACCGCTGAAGCGCGTAGCACTTCAAAACCGTCTGTCCTAGGTTGCACATAAGCCTAAGATCACTATACGCAATGCCAAGCGTCAGCTGAAGTGGTGTAAAGCTCGCCGCCATTGGACTCTGTAGCAGTGGAAACGCGCTCTCTTGAGGGATGAATCACGCTTCACCATTTGGGAATAATGGTCTGTGGCTGTTTTTCATGGTTCAGGCTAGGCCCCTTAGTTCCAGTGAAGGGAAATCTTAACGCTACAGCATACAATGACATTCTAGACGATTCTGTGCTTCCAACTTTGTGGCAACAGTTTGGGGAAGGCCCTTTACTGTTTCAGCATGACAATGCCCCTGTGCACAAAGCGAGGTCCGTACAGAAATGGTTTGTCGAGATTGGTGTGGAAGAACTTGACTGGCTTGTACAGAGCCCTGACCTCAACCCCATCGAACACCTTTGGGATGAATTGGAACGCCGACTCCGAGCCAGGCCTAATCGCCCAACATCAGTGCACGATCTCACCAATGCTCTTGTGGCTGAATGGAAGGAAGTCCCCACAGCAATGTTCCAACATCTAGTGGAAAGCCTTCCCAGAAGAGTGGAGGCTGTTATAGCACCAAAGGGGGGATCAACTCCATATTAATGCTAATGATTTTGGAATGAGATGTTCGACAAGCAGGTGTCCACATACTTTTGGTCATGTAGTGTATGTGTGATTGTGCACTTGTGAACTAACAGGTATGAAGGTGAATGTATACTGTACATATCATGTGTGTCTGCTGCAGAGCTTGTTTGCTGCATCACCATCCCTGCCTGGGTTGGTGACAGGAAGCCCTGGAGAAGGAGTGGCCTGAGGTCAACCCCTAAAGCACCAGAGCCTGGTCATGATGGACCATAAGAGAGCACTAACCATTTCACTGGCTGTTGACAAGGTGGATAACTCTCAAGTATGTCTGGCCTGCCTGGCTATATTCGTCCATTGGGATTCCTAGTCTTTTTCTCAGCCATTATGCAATTACTATAATCAACAACTGTGAGCATTTTAACAGTGCCCCTTTCTGCTTTTTAGAAGGGAAGTCCACTAAAAATTCCCAAGACCCTTCTTTCTTCAGAGTTGAGATGTGGGAATGAAGAGTCACAGGTAGATGTTATTCTCTACGGGTCACCTTTCTCTTTCTCCTCTTGAAAGTGCAACGGGTAACTTTTTTTGCCCCCCTGTGGCCTCTCCACAAAGTGTACACCACATTCATACACCCAAATATTAAAATGATAGAAAAGTAATGAAACGACAGACTGCGCCTTCAACTTTGTTCCATGAGGTTTTGTTATTGTGATCCGCGCAGTGGGTCAGTAACTCTCCCTCCATTTCTCCCAACAGATTCACTGGACCCAGATTGCTGGAAACAGAATCAAACTCCAAAATTCTTGTCAGCAGAATGGATCCATCTCTTTTGATCACGGCCAGGCGGCTTTAGCCCAAGCGGCAATGGACTGGTGAGGAGCAGTATTTATGGAGCCACAGATGGAGTTATGTTAGGAAGCAAACATAATTAGTCTGGTTAGGTTAGACTTGTTGACTGTTCATAGATGATCTTGCTCTATAACACGGTCAGTTATTAAAGCTGCAATAAGTTACTTTTTGGGCGGCCTGACCAAATTCACATAGAAATATGTTATAGATATGTCATTCTCATTGAAACAAAGTCTAAGAAGCAGTAGATTTGTTCTATGTGTGCTATTTCTATGCTTCCCGTTCTTAAGTTTAGTTAAGTCTTACTTTCAGTTTTGTACACCAGCTCCAAACAGCTGAAAATACAATATTTTTGGTTATGGAAAATATATTTCACAGCGGTTTAGATGGTACAATGATTTTCTACACTATACTTGCTTGTTTTGTCACATAAACTGAAATTAGGCGTACTATTAGAATTTTAGCAACCAGTATATAGCGGAGCGATTTCTGCATAGTCCATTTTTGAGACAGCCTTTGTCTTTATCTGTGAACTAATTCCGTCCCTTTGCACGGTAAGGACGAATTAAGCCACTGTATTTCATTGAGTGCAGTTTTCCGAACATTCACCAGATGGGGCTCTTCCCCTAAGTACTTTCCTCAGAGGTACAGTGCATTCGGAAAGTTTTCAGACCCCTTGACTTTTTCCACATTATGTTACGTTACAGCCTTATTCTAAAATGTATTAAATTGTTTTTTCCCACCTCAATCTATACACAATACCCCATAATGACATAGTGAAAACTGGTTTTTAGAAACGTTTGAAAATGTATTATAAAAAAAAACCTGGAAATATTACATTTACAGAAGTATTCAGACCCTTTACTCAGTACTTTGTTGAAGGACCTTTGGCAGCGATTACAGCCTCGAGTCTTATTGGGTATGACACTACAAGCTTGGCACACCTGTATTTGGGGAGTTTCTCCCATTCTTCTCTGCAGATCCTCTCAAGCTCTATCAGGTTGGATGGGGAGTGTCGCTGCACAGCTTTTTTCAGGTCTCTCCAGCGATGTTCGATCGGGTTCAAGTCCGGGCTCTGGCTGGGACACTCAAGGACATTGAGACTTGTCCCAAAGCAACTCCTGTGTTGTCTTTGCTGTGTGCTTAGGGTCATTGTCCTGTTGGAAGGTGAACCTTCGCCCCAGTCTGAGCGCTCTGGAGCAGGTTTTCATCAAGGATCTCTCTGTGCGTTGCTCCATTCATCTTTCCCTCGATCCTGACTAGTCTCCCAGTCCCTGTCGCTGAAAAACATCCCCACAGCATGATGCTGCCACCACCATGCTTCACCGTAGGGATGGTGCCAGGTTTCCTCCAGACGTGACGCTTGGCATTCAGGCCAAAGAGTTCAATCTTGGTTTCATCAGACCAGATAATCTTGTTTCTCATGGTCTGATAGTCTTTAGGTGCCTTTTGGTAAACTCCAAGTGGGCTGTCATGTGCCCTTTACTGAGGAGTGGCTACCGTCTGGCCACTCTACCATAAAGCCTGATTGGTGGAGTGCTGCAGAGAGGGTTGTCCTTCTGGAAGGTTCTCCCATCTCCACAGAGGAACTCTGGAGCTCTGTCAGAGTGACCATCGGGTTCTTGGTCACCTCCCTGACCAAGGCTCTTCTCTCCCGATTGCTCAGTTTGGCCGGGCGGCCAGCTCTAGGAAGAGTCTTGGTGGTTCCAAACTTCTTCCATTTAAGAATGATGGAGGCCACTGTGTTCTTGGGGACCTTCAATGCTGCAGACATTTTTTGGTACCCTTCCCCAGATCTGTGCCTCGACCAATCCTGTCTTGGAGCTCTACGGACAATTCCTTTGACCTCATTGCTTGTTTTTACTCTGACATTCATGTCAACTGTGGGACTATATAGACGGTGTGTGCCTTTCCAAATCATGTCCAATCAATTGATTTACCACAGGTGGACTCCATCAAGTTGTTAGAAACATCTCAAGGATATCAATGGAAAGCAGATGCACCTGAGCTCATTTCGAGTGTCATAGTGAGGGTTGAATACTATGTAATAAGGTTTTATTTTTTTTATTATATACATTTGCAAACATTTCTAAAAACCTGTTTTCGCTTGGTCATTATGGGGTACAGTTTGTAGATTGGTGAGAAATGTTTTATTTAATCAATTTTAGAATAGGCGTAACGTAAAACAAATGTGGAAAAGTCAAGGGGTCTGTAAATATTTCCGAATGCACTGTAGCTAAAATGGCCAGTACTGATCTGTGGACTTGCTTAGCTGCAGCTGCAGTGTTAATCTTTATCACGCAGACACACTGCCTGGTCAGATCAACCCCATTCCATCTGTCTGCCCCTCCCCCCTATAGTCTCACGCGCAGTTTCCCAATTGGTTCACTTTTAAAGAGATGACCCAGAATGGTCAAGATATTACATTTAAGTCATTTAATAGATGCTTGTCAGATGGGGTCACAATGTCACATACGGGTCGTAGGGCTCTAAAGGTTCTGACTGGTTCTGTTCCTTCCTTCAGCACGCAGCTCCAGTTGGTCCTCACGGACGTTCTGAAGACGGAACAGGGGCAGGACTACCTGGACAGGAAGCGCCTTGGCAAGATGACAGGAATTGGAGAGAGGAAGAGAGAGTCACGGATGGGGAGTGGGCAAAGGAGAGTGTCTCAGAGCAGGAGAAAGGGGAGGGAGGATTGTAGAGATTTCACAGTACACCGAAAGAGACCCCACGACCACCCCACACCCACCTCGACCCGCAAGGAGAGGAGGTAATCCTCGGTTAAATGTTGCTGAATTCCGATTGGCTGTTGGAGAGTGGACACTGCATGCCGATGATGTCTGTAGATGATTAATGTGGAGTCTGTTAAGTGTAGGGAACATATCTTCCCTTTAGGATGCCAGTGAGTGATTTAAGAGTTAAAACACTGCACAGGGTAACCATGCAGTGGAATAATTGCTTTCTGGTGACTTTCTCTTTCGCTCTTGTTTAGGTCACACCACAGAGGGGGGTCAGAGGAAGACGAGGAGGTGAAGGAACTTATAATAGGAGAGGAAAACAGCAAGGACCAGAGATGCAGTGAGTCCCCCAACACACACACACTCCCCCTGCTACCGCGTTCCCGATCCCCCCCTCTCTGAGGGTTATCCTTATTGGAAAGGCTCTGCAGTATTCCTGTTGTACATAAACAAACCCTTTTACTTTTGTAGAGCTGTAAAACAAAGACCTGCTGAATGTGCATTTCTTACACATGCACACACACACACAGGCAAAGTTCATTTAATAATGTTCATTTGTTTTTCCATATCTGCTGCCCTACTTTCTGGAGAGTAGCAACACATTTATTGTATCTGGCTTGATATCTTTATCACTGTCTCTCTCCTCTGCAGACAGTGGTGTGTCAGGGAGGCGCAGTTCACGGGAACCCCTGGAGGAGGTGACCTTTACTGAGGGGGACAGGCACCAGGAAAAGTCTTACCCACAATCCACCAGGACTAGGAAGGCAGATTCAGGTTCAAGCGAATCCGCACATGCTGAGGTAGACTCTTCGGGAAGTAGTTACTTAAATACTGACATTAAAATTGACTGACTTTAAGGCTGACGCCAAAAACCTGCAAGCTGCTAACCAAACCATTAGACAACCTGCCATGGGGCTAAAGCAACACCTTATCTCTCCTTGTTTCCAGAGGGAGAGTCAGAGAAGGGAGTCTGGGCTCTACTGTAATGGACAGGTGAAGGATGGAGTGGCAGAGGGCTTGACCACAGACGCCTCCAGGAGCTCCAGGGGGAGCGTGCTGCGCCTCTCCAGGGAGCCCAGAGACGAGGGAGGACTGACCCCCAAACAGCTGTGTCTGGAGGGGACGGGGGGCAGAGACACCAATGTAGCATCCATAGAAGTAGAGGTGGACCCCTCAGACTTTGACGGGACCATGATGGTAGTCACTGTGGGGGAAGACGGGGAAGTTGCTAGCCCCTCTAACCCCAGCTGTGGAGGGGTTAAGGAGAGGAGAGGAACCCTGAGGCTGAGCCTGTCCTCCAGCCAGGATAGGACGCCCAAACCCAGCCCTGTTGAACCAAGTGAGTATAGAGCTACGTATAAGCTATCATACTGTACAATGCATATCTGCACTCACTCCTGGTGTGTCTATCTGTGTGTGTGTTTTCTCCTGACTCTCATTGAAATAACCCCCCCTCCTGGAATGGTTACATCATAATGTAGTCTATTTCTCTGCCTCGGGCACCGACCCTAAGCCCGGTCACACACAAACACACTACGTGTCTGTCTGTAACACTGACCACTGGGTGAGTGCTTGTGACTGTCTTTGTCAGTATGCCAAGTGTGTGTTGAGTGTGTTTCTGTGCATGTATCTGACTCTGCAAGTATTTAATATTTTATGTAGTGTCTTATCTGTATCTGTATCTGTGTGATAGCACTAGCTGTGCCTTACAACACTATGGCATTGGTATAGTTACTGCAGCCCCAACATAGCAGCATTACTGCTGTCCCCGTCTTTCCTTCAAAGTTCATTACACCACAGTCATCGTATGTGTGAGAGAGAGTATAATTAGGCTGATATCCAGTATTTCACTGCAGTATGTTTAATGTGTGTGTTTTAGTCCTTCTCTCCAGTGATGAGGAGGTAGTCACCCCGTCCCACAGTTCAGTCCTTTGGCCACAGACTAGTGAGTGTGAGTCCCAGAGAAACCATGCTCAGGGAGACAACGTGGTGGCAGAGATGGACTTTCAGGTGGGCAAAAACAACTTCTTACATATTATGACATCACAAAAGACAGAATAGGGGATCTCATAATGGATGACATCACAAAGGACGGGAGTCTCATAATGGATGACATCACAAAGGACGGGAGTCTCATAATGGATGACACCACAAAGGACAGAATAGGGGGGTCTCACGATGGATAACACCACAAAGGACAGAATAGTGGGATCTCACGATGGATGACACCACAAAGGACAGAATAGTGGGATCTCACGATGGATGACACCACAAAGGACAGAATAGGGGGATCTCATGATGGATGACACCACAAAGGACAGAATAGGGGGATCTCACGATGGATGACACCATAAAGGACAGAATTGGGGGATCTCATGATGGATGACACATCAAAGGACAGAATAGGGGTCTCACAGTAGAAGCGGCAAAGAGAGAAATCGAATTCTACCAAAACAATGGAAATTCCATGGCAATGCCACTCAGGCGTCCCCCCCCCCCCCCCCCCCCCCCCCTCATTGCCCCCATCAAAATTAGCCTAGGCTACATTTAGGCTATTGCTTATATGTGCAATTCACAAAATCAGAGTATAATGCGTGTATGGATGTCAACCCCAATACATGTTCATGTTATCGTCACCAGTCAACTACATTACAATTAAAAACGTCTTCAAGTACCACCACTGATTTCTGTATGGCTACCAGCTTATATGAACTGGAGTTGGCATTTATCAGACATTTTTTCTAACCCGAAAAGGACTATTTCTAAATATTATGCAGTGAAAACAGCCAAATATATCTAAATCAGATTTTAGTCATCACATTGTGGACATGTTAGAACACAGAAATCATGACAGATTTGACAAATATCCACTTTGTAAGGTCAGATTTTTTGAATGTGCACCAATGATGTTCTTTCCCCCACCGTCTTTTCTTTACCGCATGTATGGATGACATCACAAAGGGCAGAACAGGGGGAGCTCACAATGGATGACATCACAAAGGGTTGGGAACTGGGCAGATTCTGTGACATCACAAAGGGCTTAACCTGGCTTCGATGATATCACAAAGAAAAGCACAGATGGATGTGATATCACAAAGGGCTGAGTTGGTTAAAAGATGTCATATAAGAAAGCAAATAGATTAGGGTGATATCACAAAGGGCTGCTAACAGAGGGATCAGGGTAGAGGCAGGTGTTTCATGATTAGACTGGCCCCAGGGGGCAGAACCACCACGTGCTACCTGTCAAGGTTTATAGGCCAGAGTGGGGATACTATAGCTCCCACATACTGCAGTCAGCCAAAACATAGGAGGACAAGCCAAATGCCCTCTGCTGCAACACATACAGGTGAACACACATCATTTAAACCTATCCGTTGATTAACTAAGTCTCTCACACGAACCCCTTCTATGCCTCATTGCTTATCCGGACTCTCTTGTGTCCTCGTGATCAGAAAGCATGGTTGTTATGTGCTTGCATACATGTATTTGTGTGTGTTACTCATCAATGTGTGTGTGTGTGTTACTCATCAATGTGTGTGTGTGTTACTCATCAATGTGTGTGTGTTACTCATCAATGTGTGTGTGTTACTCATCTGTGTGTGTTGTAGGTGGTGCCTGTGGTGGTGACAGGGTTTGGGGCCGATTTCCCCAGCACTGAGCACTCCGAGGGTCTGGGCCTACCGTTCTCTGCCCTGCACTGTGGGGGGATCCGAGGGGAGGCCAGCGGAAACCTCATGGTAAGGTTCTGCACTGTGGGGGGGTCCGAGGGGAGGCCAGCGGAAACCTCATGGTAAGGTTCTGCACACCGTGCTCGAACTGTGGAGAATAGATGCCGTACATACTAGAATAGGTATGCAATACAGTGGTCATGTGACATGGGGCCCTTTCTTTCCTCTGCAGATCACAAACCAAAGAATCATCATACCAATCAAAGGTAACCCAGCACCCCTGGACTTTGCTTGTGTTCTCGCCACACCGTTGACCATGCAGTCCTGGTCCTCTATTTATACTTGAATCGTTAATCGTTTTCCATTATTACTTGGTCCAACCTGAACATGACCGTGTGTGGTCGCTAGCCCCTCTGTGACCCAGACTGTTGCCCCCTCTCTGTAGGCCAGGTAGAGGTGATGGTGACTGTGGAGCGCTGTCAGCTGTGGCGGTACAGCGTCTGGGACAGGGAGGAGCTACAGGAGAGAGGGCTGGGGTGGGAGGTCAAGGAAGAGATGGGGCAGCCTCCCCCTGCCCTCCTCCTCCTCTACGTGTCAGACGCCCAGGCAGTCGCTGTCCAAGAAGACCTGAGTGAGCTGTCAATCAAACAGGCCTTAGAACCACCCACTGGTGAGAGCCTGCCTTTTGGAACCAAAGTGTGTGTGTTAGTGTTGCACGGTATACCGAAACTTCTGTACTTTTTCGATAGTAGAACGTGAAAAACGGTTCAGTGCTGGAATCGTCTCAATTTGTCTCACGTCGTCTACTGATTGAGAAAGGATCAGGTCTGTCTATCAGCGTAGCCGATGTCCCCTAATAGCGCTAGCGCACAGTGTCTGCTCCCTGCCTGCTCCACTTACTCACTGCTAGCTCTAGCATGTCCTGAGGAACCACTGCACTCACTGGGAGTCTGGGCTGCATCATGCTAGCTCCCCACTCAGGCTGCACACAAGTTAACACACTTGAATAATGCAACACAGCATGTAGAATCTGTTCGCAAAACAATGTCCATTACAGGCTAGAACACTTTACAATGCAAGGAGATACCGGTAGCTTACAGCTTTGTAGGCTAACTTTTCTTGCTAGCTAACAGCTGAAGCTAACGTCAATTCACTACCCTAGTACCATAATGCAAAATATGCTGATTTCAAAGCTGATTGTCACCAAAAACCATAGTCAATGTCAAAAACGTTATTCATTCACATCTCTCCTGTCTCTCTCACTGTGTAGTGATATTGAACTCTACAGATCTGTCTGGATCAAGTGCCATTCTATTACGCCTTTTTTTGTGTTGTTTTGGTATCAAGTATCGTGATACTAAACCTGGTATCAATGTCAAAATTCTGGTCTTGTGACAACACTAGTGTGTGGGTAGGTGGGTGTTTGCTCAAGCATGTGTATGCCCATGTGCAAATGTGTTTTGAATATGTGTGTGTGTGTGCTCACAGGCCAGGCCAGTCCCTTCCTCCTGCTGACTCTGCGTGCCCCTCTGGAGGGGGTGGAGGGTGCTTTACTTCGCTCCATCCTCGACATCATCTGTCTCAACAATGCCCCGCACTTCGATGCCGCAGGTCTCCGTGGCAACGCTCCCATCAACTGGGCGGTGGACCTCCACAGTCCCCTCCTGTCATTGGACGACAGTCTGGCGCTGATCGGTAGAACTGGACTGGACCACCAGCTGCTCTCCCTACTGGGACAGAAGAGTGCCGAGCCTGTCGTAGAACCCGACCAGGACAGAGACACACCTGGGCCGAATCTGGACACTGTGGAGGGAGAGTCACAGACACCACTGGAGACAGATACAGAGGTACAGACAGAGGAGGAGGAGGAGCAGAGGGAGGCAGAGAGCGTGCCCCTCACTGAGGTTGGTAGTATTTTGTGTGTGTGTTTGGGTGTGGAGACTTGTGTGTGTGACTGATGTCATCAAGCTGAACCATAACAAAAGCTCTAACATGAATGATCAAATTAATAATGTGTACCCTATTACACTTCCTCTGTCATGTGTCACCCCTCCAGGAGAGTCCAGTCCAGCCCAGACCCGTGTACACAGTGTGTCACAGCAGAACCAGAGGCTCCTACTCCGTGTCCCTGGGCCCGAAGCCAGGCTCCAACTGGACCCGATACAAGCACCAGGGCCCCACACACAGGCAAGCTACACAACTCCCATGATTTGTGGAATCTTTGAAACAGGTGTGTTAGTGCTGGGCTTGAACAAAAGCCTGCACACCCTATTGGTCTCCAGGACCTGAGATGGAGACCCTTGCTGTAGAGAAGTGGTTCCCAAACTGTGGGGTTGGCAGGGTAGGTGCATATAAAAATAAAAATAAGGAACTCAGTCCGGCTTTAAAAACGTACTCTTGAAAGTTGTAAGAGAAGAATGCACAAGGTGCAATTACGGAATTGGGTAGTGCATCAACAGTTCGTCTTGTACCTTAGAGAGCTATTTATAACTTGTCAGAAATGTCCAGATCAACTAGCCCGTGTCAGCTAACGTTTTTTATCACATGAATGCACATTAGACATAGCAAAATGTATAGAATTGCAAGAAAATTAGCTTTAAAACTGCAAAATGTTCTCTCCGCCAACAAGAGGGGTGTGAACAGTTTGTGTCATGAACAGTGATTGTGCCCATAGAAATAGACGTTTCGCAGGGAGGAGCCCTTATGTTCCCCAATGCTGGAAGGGGGGCCTGAGTGAAAAAGTTTGGGAACCCCAGCTGTAGAGAATACTTAGTGTAGGGATGTGCTTTCACGCTTAGTTTTTTTCTTTCTGATCCTTCTCAGGTTGATCCAGTTTCCTCCACCGCCTTCCAAAGGAGGGATCGCCGTGACAACAGAAGATCTGGAGTGCCTTGACAACGGCCAGTTCCTGAATGATGTCATCATCGACTTCTACCTCAAGTAAGTGACATCGTTGATCGTATAAGGGTGACATCCTCAGTTTGGTGCCAACATGGGGGACAGTTTCAACCCGTGCATGTCTCCGTCTCTGTCCCAACAGGTATCTGCTTCTGGAGAGGGTTCCACAGGATGTGGCTGAACGCTCTCACGTCTTCAGTAGCTTCTTCTACAAGCAGCTCACACGCCGAGACAACGCCAGTGAGGACATTGCCAGCGTCTCGTAAGTGTGTTTGTCTGTTATGAGTTTATCTGGCATCAAGTAATTCAGTATGCAAGAAGAGACTTAAACACTTACATGGAGAGTTGATGCAAAGTATTTAATATTGCGGTACCGAATTCACATAGCAAACGGCACGTGTGTGGCCCATTTTGCTATCTGAACTCCTGAACAAAGGAAATCTCTTAGCTTATATACTTGTTTGCAAGCTAATTCTATCCAACAGTTGCCAATCATTATTGAGTGTCACTCCTCACCACAATAGCATCACCCTATATGGTATTGTCTTGCACCCTAGTCAGGACATTCCATCATGCACCAGTGGCACCCAGCTATCTTGGCACGCATACCTTCTGGCACCCACCAGTGACAGAAATAAATACATGGAATGTCCTCATCCTCCAAATCCTATGCAGCTCACAATATCAAACATGAACAAATCCTGTATAAAAGATGTAATATCAGTGTCTATTTCAGTTGATCAATTATGCATTTGTATCTTTGTGTTGTGTTTTTTTGTTTCTTTGTGTGTGTGTGTGTCTTGACGTGTGTTGTCTCTCCCCAGAGCGCAGCAGAGGCGGCATCAGCGGGTGAAGACGTGGACACGACATGTGGACATCTTCAAGAAAGACTTCCTGTTTGTGCCTGTCAATCAGGAGTGAGTGACACACACACACACACACACACACACATCAATAAATAAACCGTGTGGCTCATAGTTCTTTCTTCCTCGTATGACAGAGCCCACTGGTACCTGGTGGTGATCTGCTTCCCTGGCCTGGAGGAGCCCCAGTGTGAGGAGGGGAGCAGCCCAGCCTCGCTGAGGGGAACAGGGGGAGAGAAGCCAGGCGAGGCCCAGGCTGAAGAGGAGGCCTCTGGGTCCAAAAAGCTAAATGGCATCAGTGAAGTCACCCCTGAATCGACTAGCACTGACAACCAGGACAAACTGACAGTTACAGGTATGTGTGACTTAAGTCCTGTCATCCTGTCTCTCACAGGACATTACATATCTTTATGTCAAACTTCCTTAATAGTCAAACATTAGTGAAAATGTGCATAGGTTTAGGAGTATGACTATAATCTATGTTTTAGATAAATAGGCAGAGTGGAAAAACTAGGGCTGTGGCCTGTGGGTAGGATGGAGCCAGAACAGTGAGGGGGAGAGTTATTTACAAGCTGCTCTGGCTTTTTGTCATCAAAAAAACAATCACAACACCAGTCACAGACAGAAACACAGAATGAGGCTGGACCTTAAGAGGCTTTCATCTACTGGGTTTTCTATTAGACTTTTTATGATGCATTCCATTCTTTATATCACTGTGTTGCAATAACTTCCACAATGACAATAGCAACAACTACAATATGAACAGGGTTGCTGTTAGGAAATAACCGCAGCAGCAGAAATACTAGTGCTGAAGTCCTGTGATTTAGCATGAGGAGGATAATTCTGATGATGCTGCTGATGTTTTCTCTCTAGTTGTGTCAGATAGCGTGGTACAGGGTGAATCAGTACTCCAGCCACCTCCTGGTCCCCTGGTAAGACACAACTCTCTTTAGGGATCTCTGTTGGTTCTCTATTTCTCACATTCAGTGGTTTTCCTTCTCTCTCACTCTGTCGTTGTCTTTCTTACATTCTGTCGTTCTTCTCACTAGGACTGCACTGAGAAGACCTGTCACAGAGAGACCATCTGTAAAAGGGGAGTGGATGACAACACACTCACACACACACACACACACACACACACACACACAAAGAAGGTGTGTTCTAGAGCTCTTAACTAGATGTTTATATGCACATCTCTTCTCTCCTCAGACCCTGTATTCTCCTCATGGACTCCCTCAAGTTCTCCCTCCATGAGCGCGTCTTCAAACTCTTACGGGAGTGAGTCTGTTCACTTTATCTGTGTGTGTGTGTGTGTGTGTGTTACATATCTACAAATTGAATGGAATGTTGTGTGTTTGCCTGTGGGTGTGTGAATACGTGCCTTATGGGTGTGTTGTAGCCATAATGTACCAACTCTCTTCTCTGTCTGTCTGTCTGTGTGTGTGTCAGGTACCTGCAGTCGGAGTGGGAGGTGCGTCGGGGCTCTGTGCGCGAGTTCAGTTCTGAGCAGATGAGAGGCTCCCACTGTAAGGTCCCCCTACAGGACAACAGCAGCGACTGCGGCCTCTACCTGCTGCAGTATGTCGAGAGCTTCCTGCAGGTAACAATACGAATGGAATAAGAACACGCATGCATAGGAGTTGACATGCTCCCACCTGTAACCAGCCGGGGATTGAACTCTTGTCGTGTCTTATCAACTCAAAACCACGTTAGCCAACGGAGCTAAAGCTTGTGTCTTCAGGTCTAAGGCGAGGTTGCTCACGTGTTTCTCTTATGAGAACATACTCACCAAACCAATATGCTGACATACACCTAAATACAACTTTTCTCTCTCTCTCTCCTGACCTTTCTCCCTTTAGGACCCTGTGGTGCACTTTGACCTCCCCCTGTGCCTAGAACGCTGGTTCCCACGGCAACAGGTGAGGAGGAAACGAGACGAGATCAGGGACCTGGTGCTGCACCTTTACAGACACCAGAGGGGCACGGTGGGGAGTATAGGAAACATGGGAAATGTAGTCAGTTAGGGCATGGTGGGTAGTATTATGGCCGGGATGATACCAGTATCCCAATATTTTTTCCATGGCAAAAATGAAAACACGAAGCAGACAACTCTTTGGTCCTTTAAAAACCAACCGTATGTAAAATATTGTGTGCTGTAGCTTGGAAAATAAATAAATGTGACTCTGGATGACAACATAATGATGTTTGTTTCCAACATTAGGGCTGTTTTCCTAAAGAAGTCAAATCTGCTTCATGTTTTGTTTCCTTGACACGATACTAACGAGTATCGCGATACTGGTATTGTCCTGGCCCTAGGTAGTATAGGAAACATGGGAAATGTAGTCGGGCACAAGTGGGTAGTATAGGAAACATGGGAAATGTAGTCAGGCACGGTAAGCACCTTGAGATTCTGCTCATGCTGAGCAACCAGGAAATTGACATTTCAGCCCGTTATATTAAAATATTAATTAAGCTTTTATAGTTGTATCACAGGCCAGCAGGGCCTTTCAAATTACATGCAGATGTCTCATCATGTCAACCTGAAATTAGTCACTAACGTCAAAGGATGTTGCATTAATGATGTTAATCCCTCCGGGGATGAATATGAAGGACTTGCTGCAGTAGCTGTTGAGTGTCTGCTTAGGTGCTTGTTTTAAGCAGGGGCATTAAAGGGGCCTTCCACTGAAGTTTAACAGGTTCTTCTTCACTGTTTCAGTGGAACGTCCCTTTAAAGAGTCTGTCCCCTCTGCACCTTATAGATAGGCCCTACATCCCACCACTATAGCCTCGTTTAACACGAGATCAGACTGAACAGGGTCTCGCATTTTATTATTTTACCTGTGTTTTACTATTTATTTTTCCCTAGGTGATTTTATTGTAACTTTTATGTCAGTTAGATTTTTACATATGGATTTTGTTTCTAAAATGTAAATTTTCATGACTGTTTTGAATATAAAATGTAATAAATACATTTGTAGTCTGATTTACAGCAATTCATTGCCGATTCTCTGGAATTTTCCGACATGTTGAGTCACCACTGTTCGTCCACACCCAGCAGGGGATCCTACTGCGCTTGGCTGAAGTACCCTCAGTGTAGAACACCCCACATACATACATACATACATACATACATACATACATACATACACGCACATACACACATGGATGCCAAGAGACCTAAGATTTCTGTGTAATGCTGACAGGGATTTTGTAGGATTTAGGAAAGAGACTCTGGCTTGTCCAGAAAGAACCCCTAGCCATAAGCACTTGTGCTGGTCTGATTTATGTGGTGTGTGTTCAGGTGTATGGGGTATGATACTTCAACATTTTGTAGGACCCCCTGCTGTCTTGTAAGAGGGTTACACAACCTCCTGGTTAGTGTGAGATTGCGCTCACATTTAAACAACACTTCAGCCCGAACTGGATGGACTAAGGTTGTGGTGGGCGGATATAATCCTCCAGGAATAGTATTATTGGTTGCCGGGAGGTGAATGGCGATTCCAGGTCAAAGGTTAGCAACCTTAGTTTGTTTAGTGCTACTGTAAGTGTTTGTGTCAGTAAGGGAATGTAAGAGGAAAACAAACCTGATTGGAAGGATGATTAGATGGATTATGTCTCATAAGAAACATTGAGTTCTAACTTCTACATGGGTTCCAACTGTCCCAATCACTCCCATTCACTGGGAGGTCCCTCTAGTCATTATGCAGATATACTTCCTCAAGATTCTTAGGAATTATGACATCACTGTCTTTGTTGGTACCATCCCAGATTGTTGTTGACATGAGGCTGTCCAGACACCAGTCAAGGTCTCACTGTCCCTCTCTGAGAAGGGGAAAGGCTCTATTTAACCTGTTAATTACCTGAATCTCCAACATAAACCCAGATTAATTATTTTTATGTTCTCTGTCTCAGACGGACCCTCCCTCACCCCCATCTGACGCCCTGTAATACCACTGTACCCCCATCCCAGTTTAGACCAGCGTGGGGAAAAGCTCCTGTTGATGGTCCCAGGCAGCTCTAGAGTGGGTGAAATGGAACCGGATAAGGACCACAATGTTCCAAACCTATGTTAGAACGATAAAGAACAACAAACATTAAACTGTCAGAAAGAGTTAACATTCAACACTAATTCGATTCAATGACTCTTTTGTTACTCATTTTCTAGTTTTAGTCAGTTTAGCGATAGTGGCTAGGTCATTGTATGGGGTAACCCGCCTCATACACCACAGATGTGTAGCTCTTTACTCAGTGATCCATGGCAGTCATTTTGTACCAAAACATTGTCCACAAGCCAGCTATCAGTGCAAGATGCTGTGCTTCTCAATGTCTGCCCAGCTAGTTGTCCTGCCATGATCTCAGGTTACAGGGTAAAGAGCTCAGGGCATTACAGAGCGAGTGGGGCTATGCAGGACATTACAGAGCGAGTGGGGCTATGCAGGACATTACAGAGCGAGTGGGGCTATGCAGGACATTACAGAGCGAGTGGGGCTATGCAGGACATTACAGAGCGAGTGGGGCTATGCAGGGCATTACAGAGCGAGTGGGGCTATGCAGGACATTACAGAGCGAGTGGGGCTATGCAGGACATTACAGAGCGAGTGGGGCTATGCAGGGCATTACAGAGCGAGTGGGGCTATGTGGGGCTATGCAGGACATTACAGAGCGAGTGGGGCTATGCAGGGCATTCCAGAGCGAGTGGGGCTATGCAGGACATTACAGAGTGAGTCACCATGTCGCAGCACAATAGTCCTGACTCTCCAGCTAATTGTTTGGCCCAACGCCTGGTACACAATTGGAGACTATTTAGCCACTTGCCACTAATAGTTCAAAGACGCTGGCCCCTGAGGTGACCTGATGAGATCAGATGGGTAGCAATATAGAATAGCTCCACTTTGCTCTCTGATTGGCTAGGTGGAATTCCTGCTAAGTTGGCAATGGAGGTTCCAAAACAATTGCATTGCAACTAAGAACCTTAACTATGGTGAACAAATCCTCCCCAAAATCAAAGGTTTCTATGTACCTTACACACAGGTGATGGCCTAGTAGGCTACTATTGGACAACAGAGTGGTTGCGTGCAACAGTAAGTGCTACATTAAGTTGATTAGTTGAAGTTCATTGTCTGTCCACCCGCTGAATTTTACGGGTGGCAGGTAGCCTAGCGGTTAAGAGCGTTGGGCCAGTAACCGAAAGGTTGCTAGTTTGAATCCCCAAGGTGGCAAAATGAGCAAGGCAGTTAACCCCCAACAACAACTGCTCCCGGTTGCTGATGACGTTAGATTAAGGCAGCCCCCTGCACCGCTCTGATTCAGAGGGGTTGGGTTAAATGCGGAAGACACATTTTGGTTGAATGCATTCAGTTGTGCAACTGACTAGGTATCCCTTTCCCATTATTAAATAATATAATAATAATATGCCATTTAGCAGACGCTTTTATCCAAAGCGACTTACAGTCATGCGTGCATACATTTTTGTGTATGGGTGGTCCCGGGGATCGAACCCACTACCTTGGCGTTACAAGCGCCGTGCTCTACCAGCTGAGCTACAGAGGACAGCTGAATTAAAGGTCATTAACCTCTACGGGATCGGTGTTCCGTATACAGGACAGTTGAGCTAAGGCGCGCTAATGTGATTAGCATGACTGTTGTAAGTAACAGCAAACTTTCCAGGACATATACAGTGAGGGAAAAAAGTATTTGATCCCCTGCTGATTTTGTACGTTTGCCCACTGACAAAGACATGATCATGCTATAATTTTAATGGTAGGTTTATTTGAACAGTGAGAGACAGAATAACAACAAAAAAATCCAGAAAAACGCATGTCAAAAATGTTATAAATTGATTTGCATTTTAATGAGGGAAATAAGTATTTGACCCCCTCTCAATCAGAAAGATTTCTGGCTCCCAGGTGTCTTTTATACAGGTAACGAGCTGAGATTAGGAGCACACTCTTAAAGGGAGTGCTCCTAATCACAGCTTGTTACCTGTATAAAAGACACCTGTCCACAGAAGCAATCAATCAATCAGATTCCAATCTCTCCACCATGGCCAAGACCAAAGAGCTCTCCAAGGATGTAAGGGACAAGATTGTAGACCTACACAAGGCTGGAATGGGCTACAAGACCATCGCCAAGCAGCTTGGTGAGAAGGTGACAACAGTTGGTGCGATTATTCGCAAATGGAAGAAACACAAAAGAACTGTCAATCTCCCTCGGCCTGGGGCTCCATGCAAGATCTCACCTCGTGGAGTTGCAATGTTCATGAGAACGGTGAGGAATCAGCCCAGAACTACACGGGAGGATCTTGTCAATGATCTCAAGGCAGCTGGGACCATAGTCACTAAGAAAACAATTGGTAACACACTACGCCGTGAAGGACTGAAATCCTGCAGCGCCCGCAAGGTCCCCCTGCTCAAGAAAGCACATATACAGGGGCGGCAGGTAGCTTAGTGGTTAAGAGCGTTGTGCCAGTAACCGAAAGGTCGCTGGTTCTAATCCCCGAGCCGACTAGGTGAAAAATCTGTCGATGTGCCCTTGAGCAAGGTACTTAACCCTAATTGCTCCTGTAAGTCGCTCTGGATAAGAGCGTCTGCTAAATGACTAAAATGTAAATGTAATACAGGGCCGTCTGAAGTTTGCCAATGAACATCTGAATGATTCAGAGGAGAACTGGGTGAAAGTGTTGTGGTCAGATGAGACCAAAATCGAGCTCTTTGGCATCAACTCAACTCGCCATGTTTGGAGGAGGAGGAATGCTGCCTATGACCCCAAGAACACCATCCCCACCGTCAAACATGGAGGTGGAAACATTATGCTTTGGGGGTGTTTTTCTGCTAAGGGGACAGGACAACTTCACCGCATCAAAGGGACGATGGACGGGGCCATGTACCGTCAAATCTTGGGTGAGAACCTCCTTCCCTCAGCCAGGGCATTGAAAATGGGTCGTGGATGGGTATTCCAGCATAACAATGACCCAGAACACACGGCC